GAAGCGGGGAAGCCGGTTCAGGGGCCCATCTTGAGCAGAGAACTGGGAAGACACAGAGCCCCAAGCTGACGGGGCATGGCCAGTGTTACCGCTGTCCAGGGATGGGGTTTGGAGCTGGGCGCTGTCACTCCTGGGCACTGTCTCTGCTTCCCTGCAAAGGAAAATTCCCTAGTGTCTGGGCCGGGAGCCTTCTCTGGGTGACCTCATCTGGGATCTGACCCAGCCGCCCAAGCATTCCTCTGCTGAGAACCCGGCTTTGTAGGGGGCTCCCCCGTGACCATGAGGAGAACAATAAGTGGTCCCTCCAGGCGCGTCCCCCAGCCTGTGTCAATACCTTGTCCTATGGGCCACAAGGACAAGAGGGTGCGGCTGCTCTTTTGATCTTAGGAGTCATTTCGTCCTGGGACTGCCCAGCTCTGGGGCAAACCGAGCTTAGTACCTGACCTCGAAGCTGGATCCAGAACCTCTGTACTGTGGATTTGGGAAGATCCAGATCCCTCTTCTCTTTTCTGCAACCCACAGGCTATTTGTTTAGTGCTTGGTGGGAGAGCCAGGCACGCACACCGTGATCCCCGTACTCTGGGGGCCTGAGGCAGGATTCCAAGTTTGAGCCCAGACTGGGAGATTTAGTAAGCACTTACTCAAAATGAAAAGGGGTCAGGATGTGGCTCCCCGCAAAGGCCCTTGGTTCAGAAGGCAGAGTAGGCCTGAGAGAAGTACCCTCCTGGGGTCTGCTGGGGTGGGGAGTCCGTGAGGGCAGGAGGAGGTCGGGACAAGCAGGGCAGGGCTGGTGAGCACACACGCCCTGGGGAAGTGTTGCAGGGGTGGGGCACGGGCGGGGCAGTCAAGGTCATGCCTGTTCCATGTGCCGGGGGACAGCAGTCCAGGAGGCGGGGGACAGCAGTCCAGGAGGCCTGGCGTGTCTCTGAGCTTGCGACTCTGCTCCTAAGGCAGCTGAGAGTGACCAGGAAGCCTGCAGTTTGGGACAGAGGGAGGAGCTCGGGACAGAACCTGCACACAGCTTGGAGTCGGGAAGAGACCAGAGTTCAGCCAGGACCCAGAGAGGACCGGAGAGGGGACTTTCAGGGCTCCCCGCGGCACAGGGCATGACAAGCTCATTCCCCACTGGTCTGCTGAGACAGCTCCAGGTCCATTCAGACCTAGATCTCCAGCCCGGGGCGACAGGAGTTGGCCACAGGGCCCCGGCTCCTCCCCAGGCACAAGGCAAGCTGCCGCCTTGAGAGAAACCACGAAGAAGCTGCGTGCTGTACAGGGAGAACGAACGAGCTGCCCGGGCATAGGAAACACTAAGACGGGCTGGGGAGGGGACACCCGTGTCCTTCCGCTCACATTACCCTGGAGACGGAGGGCGAGAGGCAGAGAGGGAGAGACCTGGGCCTGTTCAACTCTGCCTCCCACTTCCCACCACCCTAGAAAACGCACCTCTACTGAGGCATACATGTGTTTTCTGGCTTAAAATTCCTGGGAGTTGCTCCTTGTGGAAAGAAAGCGGAAACCCCAGGATTCCTGTGACTGCTGTGGAGACTGAGTGAGGGGTCCCCACTCCCTAGCAGGCCCCGGGGAGCACGGGGGCCAGAAACGGCCTGCAGTTCTACTGCCATTGATCAGCTCCAGTGGACCAGAGAAAGGGTTCACCCCCTGCTGGTGCCAGCCCCGGGCCAACCCAGTGGCCACCCTGGGTCCCCAACTGCCCCACGCCGGCTGCCACCCGCTGAGGATCTGGCCGGGCTGCCGCACTGGGTGGACCTGGCTGTCTGTTGTTGGCCAGTTTGAAGCTAATGACTTTCACATGCACTGTGGCTTGGAGAGGCTCGGGCAGGGCCTGGAGGGGACAGGCAGGAAGGAAGGCAAGGAAGAGGCGCTTCTTCCTGGGCCCAGGCAGCCCTTTCCCTAGAGCCCAGCTGCGCCTGGGAGGAATGGGGCCAGCATCTTACCCTGGCCCTAACCCCGTGATTCACAGGTCTGCCGCTCCCTTGGCTGGACATGCAGCCAGCCCGGGTGGAGGTGCCGGGCAGCTGCGGGCCCAGACGGGTGTTGACGGGAGCTCTGTGGCTGCACAGACAGGAGGGCGGCACCCACTTGGGGCCTGCACCCACTGACAGAGGAGAGGCCTCAGGCAGAGGGAGCAGGGTGTTCCCGGGCTCATGGCGCCCCCTAGCACTGGCCAGCGGAATAAGGCCAGGGAGCCCCACTGCCAGGAGCTGTGCCCGCTCATCCCAGCATGAACACAGGCAGCCCGCTGGTCACCAGGTTAACTCCTGCTTACCAGCACTTGGTGACTGGGAGAGAAGCACAGGCAAGCGACTGCACCAGAGTCACCTAAGTGCTGTGCTGGAAGGAAGTGCAAGGTGCTGGGAGATAGGTGAGCGGGGCTCCGAGAAGGCTTCCCAGAGGAGGTGACATCTGACAGGAGCTCTGCATGCCAGCTAAGCAGCCACGCTCCCGAGCTCCTACTGTGCGCCATCCCAGAGGCCCAGATGGAGGAGCAGCGACTGCCAGGAGCCTCACCCTGGCTCTCCCGAGCCTTAGCCATTCAGGCCTCCCCCAGGTGGCTTCATCTCCAGCCTCGGTCCGGTCCGGGAGAGAGCAGAGGGGAAGCTCAAGAGGAGCCCTGGAGCAGTCTCGGCAGGTTCAGCCTGCTCGGGCGGCATTCCTGGGGACCTTCACCTGTCCTTGGGGACGCCCCATGGAAACTCAGCCTGGCCCAGCTGAGGCAGAGCCTGGGGTCCATCAAGTTCCGTCTTTGCCTGACAAACACAGATGGCGCGGGGACAGGACCGGTGGACGCAGATTCCAAGTCAGCCCTAGACTTGTGTGTTCTCATGCTCTCAGCGGTCAGGAGCAAGCAGGAGGGCTGGGTTCTTCTCCTAATGTGAGAGGCCCTGAGGGAGCACTTCCTGCCTGTGATTAGGCTGTGGCCACTGTTATGTCCACTTTACTGGCCACCAGGTCTTCTGCTGCAGGGACCCGCAGGAGGACTCTGAGTTCTCTCCTGGCCTCAGGCTGAGGCTGAGCTGGCCTCCTGGGTGGGCAGAGGTGAGCCCCTCAGCATAGGCACAGGGAGACGAGACTGGGCGTGATCAGGCTGGTATGGCCATGGCCAGTGTAGGCACAGGGAGAAGGTCCCAACTGAAAGGCTCTTGGGCTCTCTGACCTCCAACAAGGCTGCATGCACCAGCTTGGGGGAGGAAGTGAGGGGACGTAGGTGGGAAGGCCCTTTCGTGTCCCTCAGCTGGAGCGAGAATCAGAGGCACTCACACTGGCACAGTTAGGCAGCTGCCGGGGCCCAGTGCTTTGCTGGCTTCTATAGGACCCTGCTGCGGGTGACCAGCAGAAGTCCCTGCCTGCACTCATGATCCAGGAGCAGCTTCTCCTTGGGGAAAACACTGGCATCTGGACAAAACCATAATGTGAAAGGAGAGAGGAGAAGGAATGCCCACACGTAACGTGCTTATCCAAAGTGGATTTGGCCTGGAAAGGCATCTAAAGCCTTCCACATGACCGGCACCGTGCGAGTTCTACCACTTTCTCAAATCCCACCAAGCATGTCCTCCTTCAGCCTGGTTCCCTGGGGTGGCCCCACTGTACCTGCCCTGAGCCTCCAGGGCCACTGGCCACACCCATACTTGAGATTCTCCAATCCCTGGTTTGTGCTCAGAGGGCTAAAAGGTTGCTTGGCCGACTACCCCAGACCTCAAAGTGTCAGCAGGATGGCTGGGCTGTAATACAACCAGCCCAGGGATAGGGCTGGGAAAACATCCTAGGGAGCTGGCTCGCTGCTGGAGGAGCGAGAGGGACAGGGCCTTGGGCTGGGTGGGTTCAGCAAAGTCCCACCGCCCACACTTCCCCTTCTGCCTCCTCCCCAGCATCACTTGTCAGGGGTTCGGTGGGGGGGGCTCCTCCCCACGTGGAGTCAGGGTGTACAAGTCCCTGACCACGCAGGAGAAGGGAGGGAGAGAGGAGACCCGGCTGTGGGGGCGTCTGCAGTTAGATCCCACTGCTGCTGCTGTCTGGGCGAGCAGTGTCTCTCGCAGTGTGGCCGTCATGGGGCGGGGTTGCACAGCTGGCCCCTCGCTGGCCTGGAGGGCTCTCGTGAGCTAGAAGGAGGCAAGGCGTGGAGCCTGCCTGTGAGCACGAGCAGCCGCCCCAGGCCTCCTGTGGGAAGGACAGCAATTCCAGGCGTCACCGGCCATCCCCCGCACCTGCAGCCCCCGATGGGCCCTCAGGACCTGTTTTACTCCAGTTTTGGGTCAGTTCACCCCCAACTCCTGGCTGAAGGATGGAGACCCATCCTCTGCTGCCTCCCTACCCTCTGCTCTTCACAGAGCCCAGGGCCTTTGCACTGTCCTGGTTCTCCTTGTCCTGGTCACTTCACAGCTGGTCCCAAGGAATGCACGCCTGCCATGCTCGTTTCTGACCCATGACTCTGCTTTTGGTTTTTCCACAGCTCTGGCACCCTAGGGACCTGCCCTGTAGCACTCGTGGATTTCCACGTAGGAAGGGCTTGCTTAGTGCTTTTCACTCCCGAATCCAGAGCAGTGTTTGATGAATGAATTCACAACTGCATCTGGTCCAGAGGAGCACAGGTAAAGACATCTGTCACAGCCAACTGCAAAGGGTCTATTGCTCCAAGTGCAGGAGAGAGGGAGAGAGAGGAGGAAGAGGAGGGAGAGAGATCTTCCCTTCTCTAGGCTATCTGCAAAGTGGGCCTCATCTCTGCCTCTGCACACGGTCGAGGTCCTGGCGTGGCTGCGGGGCAGGGTGCAGGCCAGTCCCTTGTCCCACGTCCCAGCGCCCCAGCCCACCCTCGCCCAGGCAGCACGATTCCCTATAAGGCTCTGAACGGTGGCGCCCGGCCCGGCCCCGCCCCCTTTTTGGAGGGCGATGAGGTAATGTGGCGCTGCCATTGGTCGCGGGGTGCGGGGGGCGGAGCTACGGCGGGCCGCCCGCTATATAGCGCTCGGCGCCCGTTCAGCGGCAGCGCAGGCAGTGGCTCTTGGCGGCGGGCAGGCGGCTTCCCCTCGCGCTCCTCCGCTAGTCCGGCACAGTCCCCGCTCCGCCCGCCCTCCTCCCCTCAGTCCCGGGTCCCTTGCGCCCCGCCGCAGGCCCGGCCCCGAAGCACCTGGACGCAGAGCGGCAGAGCAGCAGCGCGGTCGGCGCGCGATGGCTCCCTGGCTCGGGCTGGTCGTGCTGCTGGGCAGCTGGAGCCTGGGGCCCTGGGGCGCCGAGGCGTGCACGTGCTCGCCCAGCCACCCCCAGGACGCCTTCTGCAACTCCGACATCGGTGAGTGCCCGGCGCGGCTGCCCGGTGGAGAGCACCGAGGCTCTGGACGCCAGCGCTGCACAGGGAGCTGCAGCCCGGCCGGCCGAGGGGCTCGGGAGTCCTGGGTGGGCCCCGTCCTGCTCTGGAGCCCGCAGGCAGACCCAGGAGTGAGCGGAACTTGGGCCCTGCGGGTTGGCCTGGGCCAGTGAGGGCGCCTGGGAGCTGCGGTGACCCTGTGGGTGGCCGTCCTGTCCCCTCCCCTCCCGGGGATCCGCTTCTGAGCTCAGCACAGCTCAGGGGCAAGGACTGCTGGCCTAGGGCTCGACACTCACGCAGGTTTCGATGTGTGTGTCGAGGGGTAAGCGGTGCAAACAGATCTGTCTCATCAGAACGAAGGTGTCAGGGTCACACCGTGGCGACAGTCCCCTGCTGGATTTTGTGTCCTGACAAGAGATGAGGTGTCCCAGCTGGACGTGGTCTGGAGTGCGGGGGACACTTGCGTTTCGAGGCCCAGAGCTGTGGGGCTCACTGGAAATATCCGGCCCTTGGCACTGTGTGGCGTGTTGTCCACATCTCCCTGCTGTGTGGGCGCACAGTCCTGAGCCCCGCCATGGGCATGCCAGGCAGATCCGTGTCCCTGCTGTGTGTGGGACGCTGCCTTGTGTCCCTGCCGTGTGCGCAGGGCAGTGGGTGTCACCCCTGCGCCTCTGTGCCTTTGGAGGTGAAGAATGGAGCGTGTGTGTCTGACGGCAGCCGGGACAGGAAGGACATTTTCCATGGGTCCCTGTGAGGGACTCTGTGGATGTGTGTGGCTCCGGGCAGTGCGGCCCTGGGGTGGCTGTGGCGACCAGGTTGGTGCCGGTGGCAGGGGAGGTGTTTGTGTGACTGGGTCACCCCCGGTGGCGAGGCTCCTGGGTCCACAGCCACACCCTCCCTCAATGGGGGTCAGTGCTCTGAGCAGGCCGTGCCCAGTGCCTGCCAGGGCCCTTCGGGTGGGTGGAGGAGCCTGGCAGGTTTTCTCTCCTGCGCTCCCTGAGCCTCCACCCCATCTCCCCTGGCTCAAGCTGTCCCTGCTCAGTTCTGGTTCTGCTCCATGAAGGGCAGTGGGCCACAGGCAGCAGGTGGGCTCGGAGCCGCTGCCTGCCATGCTTGAGCCTGGGCCGGTGTGTGCAGCTGTGTTTGGAAGCCTCCCCACCTGCTCTTGCTTTGGGGGCTCCCGCTTGGATGTGGGGCACAGTGGGGACAGGAGCCTGCGGACCCTGCTGCCCAGGCTCCTGCACTTGCCACCTGCTCAGTTCCCATGTTCGGTTCCTGCTGCGGGCTGGGCTGGTGCTGGCCGCTTGTCATTTCCCTGCGTGTATTCAAGACCTCGCTCTTTCTTCCCCCTTCGGCAAGTTCTTGGAGAAAAGCTTAGGGACTGAGAAGTCCTGCAGACCCAGGACAATGTGGCAGCAAAGATGAGCTGGGGAGGGAGCGCTCTGGCGTGGTGGCGCAGGTCCAAACTTGCTGGCCTGGGCCTGGTGCAGGCACTGGAGGCCTGATGAGCTCATGTGGGTGTGGGCAAGGGCTTGCTGACCTCCTGCTGCCGCTGGCCCACCCTGCCGGCCAGTAGGTGGCTCCTGAGGGACTCACTCACAGCCTCTGGTCTTGGCTGGGTGAAGGCTGCCTGTTCAGGCAGTATGCCAAGGAGGTGCCCGTGCCCCCACAGCCCCGCTACCCAGTGCCGAGCCCACTGAGGGTGCTTTGTGCCACCTTCCTCCTCCAGACTTCCGGCGTCCCTCCTCCTGGCCAGCGCCCTGCTGCCAGGGAAAGGCTTGTGGGCCTGGTGTGGCCCCTCCGAGGCTCCTCACCCACAAGTATCTCCTTTTCCCTTCTTCCTGGAGCCCCAGGCGCAGCCCCCTGGGCCAGGAGGAGTTAAAGGGGTTTCCATGGCAACTCTGGCCCTGCACCCCTCGAAGTGTTTGGGAGAAGAATAAACTACATGCCGGCGTATCAAACACACGGTGGGGCAGAGACTAGGACTTGGCAGCAGCCAGGACGTCTGTGCCCGCTCCCTGCCCTTCACTGCCCCTGGACCCCCGGGGAAAGCCTGACTCCGGCAGCTGGCCGGGGCTGGGAATACAGGAGGTGCCCAGCTGGGGCATGGTGGGCAGCGCCAAGAGCTTTCTGAAGTTTGTGCCTGTGTGCGTGCACACATGTGTGTGCTTTTCAGGGGTGGGGCCAGTAGAGAAGAATCTGGCTGCAGGAGCAGCACCAGGGGCCAGGGGCCGCGGGGACCTGGCCGGCCCTGGAGATCAGCCCAGGGTATCTTAAGCTCTTCTGCCAGGCGCCGCTGCCAGTGGATTCCTTCAGTATCAGATCCAGGCTTGTGGTTTTAGCAAAGAAGCCATTTTCAAGGAAACCAGACCCGTCTCTCTCACTGTTTCACAGTTATGCCCCAGGCCTGGGCTTGGTGGGCACAGGAAAGAGAAGGGTCAGGGGAGAGGAGCCAGCCACACGGTAGGGGTGAGGGACACAGACTCCAGGAGCCCTTGAGGGAGGGGGCTGCCAAACCGGAGGAAAGAGGGACAGTTTCTCATCGATGCTCTCCTCTCTCCCATCCGCCCGGCCACCTTCAGCGTGGATGCCACACCCATTTTTAGGTGGAAACTGCCTAGGTGGAGAAAGGGTGTGCATGCCAAAGGCCACCCAGCTACTAGGTGGTAAGGCTGATGCCCAGTCTTCGTTATGCCAGGGCTCAGAAACTTTCAGCTTCCATTGACCTTGATCATCTAAGACAGGTGTCATTCCTAGGAGTGAGGTGGAACAGGTACCGCTTTACTTCTGGGTTTGGGGAGTTTTTCTCAAAAATTTGAAGGCAGACAAAATGTTTTAATGAGACAACATCTTTTGGGAAGAAGAAATTATTATTGGTATTCTTATTCTTATATTTTATCATAAAAGAAACATGTAGAATACTTTAGTTATCCTTGGGCTACTAGAACCACAAGAGGCCCCCAGACCATCCAGCCAAGGTAAAAACGTCGATTCGGTTTGTCCCATGAGGCTGGAAGGAGTTACAACGCTTCCTCTAGTGGGATGAGTTGGGGGCCCCCGAGGGGAGCAGCCCCGTGCCCAGTCTGTGCAGTGGGGTGAAGGGAGTCATGGAGCCCTCAGGAGCTGGGTCTCAGCTGACAGTTCTGTGTCCCTTTCCCAGTCCCTGGGAGGATACGGTGACTGCGGAAGTGGCCTGGGCGGAGAGAGGTCTTTGTTTTGCAGGGACAGCAGGAACTGTTCAGCTTGCTGCTGAAAGGCACATTCCAACAGGTTCATTAATTAAAAACAAAAACAGCAGCCTGATTCTCCATCGAGTTGGCTTTCCCCATTCCCGCCAGTGTGGACCAGGAAGCCCTTCCTGTGCCTTTGCTGTGGCCAGCTCTGGGGAGTCGGGAGATGGTGGGGCGCACAGCTCCTGGAGGCTCGGGCTGGGAGCGCTCGGTCGCCTCAGGGGGCATCTGTGTGCTTTGGTGTCCCCAGGTGTAAAAGGGCACTCATAAGCCACCCACCCTTGGACCCTTTCTAGCCACATTTTTAAATTCCAAGTTTTTGTCTGAACGTATTGTGTGTCCATGCACGAATATGCCTGTCCACCCATCATCTCGCCCTGCACGCACTCCCTGCGTCTCCCTCTCTGTCCCATTCCGCAGTCCTTCTGGGTCACCACCGCTAGTTCTAGCCCCTTCTCCCGGCCGCTGCTGCACACGCATTTCCACACACAGGTACCTGGAGAACGCACCCTTAGACACAGGAATACTACAAGGCTATACGTGCTGGAGTACCATGTGCAGCCTGATTTTTAAAAATCCAACAACGTGCATCAGAACTCTTCTCCAGTAATGTAGGTATAACTCAGCATCACTTTTTGCATCTGCAGATTCCACAGGGCCATGGTTTTTGAAAGCTCCTAATTGTAGAGTGATTACGACATGTCAGGCATCATTCTAGGTCATTAACGTGCATTGACCCACGCAATGCCCCCAACAGTCCTGTGAGGCAGGACTGTTTTCACTTTAGGGCTGAAGGAATGGAGACTTACAAAACTCGGGTAACTTGCTGAAGGATATACTGCTGTGAAGTGACAGAATCTGTCTTTAAGCCCCTGTAACCTGGCTCTGAGACACATTCAGCTAGTACATTGTATAGCCCACTGTCGTGTTTTATAGCATGCATCACACTCTACGTCAGCATAGACTACTAGACCACTACGAGGATATACTATCTGCATAGGCAGACCTGACTTAGCCAGTCTCCTACGGATGGGTTTCTAAGTTTCTAACAACTTCTCATTCCTATAAGGGGTGCTAGAGCACACAGTCGTTGTGTAGTCTTCTTATTCAGATGGACAGATATTTTTCTGGGGCAGTGATGTGATTGGAGTTGTTGTTGGACATCAGGGCTGTGCCGTTTTCCCCAGAATGTCCCGGCCACAGTGCACCCAGAGTGGCCATGATAACATTGCTCTTTCCAAGTATGAGGCAGGTATGTGGGGCTCCCAGGGCCCTGTGCTTCAGACACTTGGGGTTCTTCTCACAAACAGAAAAACAGCTTAGGACTTCTACTGATTTTTCTGGTCTTTGCCTCTTTTTGCTCACTCCTTTGTATCTCTGAAAGGGCCCAACTTTAGGGCCACTTAGACCAGGTTAGTGGGACCCTTTTATAAGGACAGAGAGGGAGTGCAGTGGAAGCTTCAGCCCTTGCCCTGTTGCAGCTTGGAGAATTCAGCTGGAGACGGTTTAGGTTTTTGCTTTGATGTCAGCCGTGGGCCTTTTATCCTGTGCAGTCGTGTGACCTTGGGGTTCCACCCAAACTTGCGTCACAGGTACACATGGTGAACACACATGGTGGGGTTTGCTTTCTGGCTCAGGTGTGTCCCTGAGTCCCCTCCTGTCTCCTTGCTGTGGTATTCGGATGAGGGTGAAGGGTGCCCACGAGGATGAGGATGGACCCTAAGACGAGATGCTGGGGTTCTGTCCTCGTCCTTA